AATGAGAAACAATAAAGCATATTATGTTTTTGTATGCTGGTGAATCACACATAGTAAATCACCAAAGAGAAGAGTGATTTATGCTCAAATCCAGCCAAGACTTTAATCAATATTGGGTGTCACATCTCAGAAGGTTGGGGGAGGTAGTAAGGCAAAAAGAGAGAGGCTAATAGTGGTCTCAGCGATTTTCATGCAACTTCTGTGTATTGTAGTAGATCAGACAAAAAAAGATGAGAAGATCTGAACTAACATGACGATTTTAAAATTCTGGAGTAAACATAAAAGCTTTAGCTATGGGAACTATAAAATTTACTAGCCTGCTCAGAGTTCATTCTACGTAATATCTGAAGCTTCACAAAGTAAAATATCACATGAACAAATAAAATTAAATCTCAACATTAACAATCCTTGAAGTATTGAAAGGAAATCATGTTCATAACTATGTGTATATTTTGCAGTAATCAACTATGCTATTATTGGATATTAATGCCAAGAAAAACAGCAGGTTTGTAAGATATTATGCAAATAAGGCAAAAGTTAATATTTTTCAATATAGATTGATTGCTCAAAGTCAATTCTAGTTTAGAACATTCTTATATTTTGCTATATGTTAATTAAATATAACTTACTAACATTTTTAAGGCACACAGATATATTTTGCAGATTCAAGTAACCTTTCATATTTTAGGCCTTAGTCTTTCTAATTATGCCATACTCTTTTTGAAATGTCTTAAAATGACATATTAGGCTTTATGGGAGTCATTAATTGACTGTAAGACAAAAACTTCAAAAGCATACTTTATCTTCATTTGAAGTAATTTTTTAAGTTTCTCTGTGCCAAGTATCATAATTGTCTGTTAGAAGTGAATCTCTATTTGTGTTGAAACTTCCTATAGCGATGCATAAATGCATAAGTCAGTGCCACAGGAAAGCATAAAATAGGGTAAAAGTTTAAATAAATACACACTGTTATGTTTGCCATCTCTATTAAAAAGTCCTTGTCAAAAAAAATCGAGGCAAGAATTAGAAAATACTACACTTTGTATACTAAAAGGGCCTTTACGTATTATTACTGCGCAAAGAAGACTTGAAAAAGTCTTTCAAGTTATTGTCCATGGATAATACTGACTTCTAAGATAAAAGAAAACTGCTTGTGAATATGCATATAAAATGTCTGAAGAAACTAAGGAATCTATTCAAGTTTTAAAAACTCCATAAATCAAAGGCTACATGGGATCCAAATCACAATCAGGTTTCAAAGCACCTGAGACAAAAATCTCCCTGCAACATTCAAAGATGAATACAAAGACGATAACAAAATAACAGGAAAACTTTATAAGTTGAATTCATGGAATTTGAATCCTAACCCAATTCTACAAACAAGACACTGACCATACAAACAGACTTGACCATGTACTTAATTACTTTTCTTTTTGTTGCTGTTGTTTAATGGTTACCAGTTAATTAAGTGACCTCTGTTGGCAACAGCCAAGTTCATGCAACTAATGTTTAGTTTTAAAATAATAATTGGAGGAAACTGATCAAGGTCAGACTTTTTTTTCCTTTGCCAGCCTTTAAATATATTTGCTTATGTTTTCTTTCATGTTTTGAGACCCTTTCTTTTAGCTTTACTATCAAGCAGGTGATAGTCTTTTTCATCTCATTGTGGTAATGACAGATGGCTTCAACATTTATTCTTGTTTTCAAAAGATACCATACTGATGCAATAGCCTCAAGCAAATTAAATCCATTTTAACTTTGTTGCTAACTTACTAAACCACTCTGAACAAGTTTATGAACTTTCTTTTCTTACACATCAGTTGCTACCTCTCATTCTCTGGTATCTAAATACTATTAATAAACATAATTAGATACATGTTGTGAAAAAGAAACTGATAGTACTAAGATGGAATGTTTCTTGCCCATTCTATCAGTTTATATTATGTTCTTTTATGCATAATTTCTCTTATCCTTCAGATAGAATGCTGCTTTAATCTGTTAACTGACTGAGGACATGTGTGAAAGAAATCAACATATCTAGATGAATGAAAAAGCAAATGCATACTGGATTTGAATGGGGAAAAATGATTTCAGTTCAAAAGATTTTAAGTATTACTTTCAAAGTTAAGAAAAAAGACCACAGCACTTTTAATTATCAATTGCAAAAGCAATGCATTACAAAGCAAGCAGCATATCTTTATGAGCATTCAATTGCTTGTGCTCTGTTTCTCACTATCAGATTTCCGAAAGCCTAGGTACAGATGTCCGCATCTACATATCTTTTAAGGCTGATGACTGTAGCATTTTGCATGCATTTGTTTGATCAAGACTTATTGCTGATAAAATACCAAAATACAATAATAAGTCAACAACTTACCATATTTAACTTTTAAATGATCTGAAATAAGATTTTAAAACAACACATTTAATTGCAACAAACTATGAAGACAGGGCGACTGAAATACACAGCAATACTATTGTTGGAGACTAAGCAGTTCTAATTAGCTTAACTTATCTTGGCTCTGAAAGTTTCATCCAGAACTATTGGTAACCTCAGAAAACGCAACTATCTTTAAAAATACTTCTTAATGAATAACTTTTAATACCATTCTCCAACCAGATGCTGAGGATTTCAATTACAAAATGTACTCAAAAATTTCGCGGGGGTGGGATGGGGGGGTTGGAAGTCAAGTATGTAAGTACCTGTTTTTGTTTTAGATTGATTATGACATCGCTGTCATTGAAAGACGTTTTCTCTAGCAATCTTTCTCTTTATTCTGTACGTTGGAAGTGGCCACTAATTAACTAGCATGGTGTGTACTGTAAGAAATGCACAAAGACGATTCAAGACCAGAGTGGTCTTCTTGCTTGAGGAAATCAAACAGTAGAATTTCAGCAATTTACTGGACAGCTGACAATTTTGTAACCACCATATCTAAACTGGCTTCCAATTTCAACTCGCATTCTTGGTAACAGATTTCTGCCCTCCTTTGAATAGTTTTAACACTGGGTCTTTGAGAATTGTTTTCTTTCTGGATGTCGGAGAATGCCAATTATCTCTATAAATGATATTTCTTGATGAAGGGTGCACCTCAATCTTACTGCCACCTGTCCCTATGCCTTGGCACGCGCGTGCGCGTGCACAAACCCAGGAGCGCACGTGCTCTGCACCCCCACCCCAAACCCAAATGGTAGAAATGAAGGTTTGAAAAATCGTCATACACTCCTGCCCCAAGCAAAGAATGGCAATGGCAAGCAGATACAGAGAAGAGCTGCTGATTAGATGAGGAGAGGGCATTTGCTTTGTTGGAGTTCCAGGCTCTTCTTACAGACATCCCGCGGGAGTGAGCGGAAAGGGGAGTCTACTGCCAAGGAAGAAAACCCTCTGGGCGTTTTACCTGGGTTTCCTTTTGGCCTCATTTTACCTGGGGTTCCTGGGGGGGGGGGGGGCGGGAAATGACTACCCCAGTTTCCTTCCCACCTCAGGTTCCCTTGCTCTACTCCTAGGGGTACACACACACACACACACACACACAGTAAAGGAGCTAAGAACTTCGTCCCTTCCCCGATCTTCAAACTTATTTGCAAGGAACTGCATGCAGTCTCCGCGCAAATGTTGCGCGCAGTTCCCACGCGCTCGCTTCTCATCTCCAACTTTTCTCTACTAGCTTTCATCCGGCGTCTCTCGGAACTTTTCCCTCGGCAGCTAACGGTGGGAACAAGGAGGAACTGAGAAAGCGGGTGCAAGGATCATTTTTACCCCGAAACTGACAAATCACCCCACTCCCGCCCCCCTCTAGGTAAATTCTCCGGGCGAAACCCACCCCCGAAGGGGTGCGGGGGAGCGTTCATTAGCATAAAACTGCACTTAGCCTGGTACCGGGTCCCCTGGCCTCGGGGATTCGCGGGCTTTGCGGGCTGGGGAGACCGTGGCACAAGGTATTGAGGTCCGCAGAGGGCTCCAGTGCAAATTCTGCACCTGCTCACTGCATGAGTTACTAACCGAAAGGGTGCGGAGGGTGCGGGGGGGGGGGGGGGGCGGGAAGGGACAGTTTGGAGAGAGTGGGCGCGAAGGATGGGGAAGCTTTGTGATTTTTCCTCCCCACCTCTCTAGGACAGTCCCGGGCCCCTTTCACCTCCTGGATGAAGCAGGAAACCTGCTTTGCCCCGCTTCTGCCCGGGGACCACCAAACCCCTTTATCTCCTTTGCACACGCACACGCGCACACGGACACGCGCACACATAGACCCCTCCCCTTGGCAGGCTTACCCGAGGGGCTTTTGAGCTCGACTCGCTACCCAACCCCCGGGGGGGGGTGGGGCTCGGTCAAGAAGGGGGGGGTTCCCTTTCCACCCTCCAAGTGACCACTTCCTAACCTACCTCGCGGGTCCCCCGCACCCCGAAAGCCTCTTTCTCCTCCCCAACTGGGCACTGCCGAGTTACAACCACTCCAAGCCCCCACCCCAACCCCAATCCCAGGACAGGACGCAGCTCAGGCGCCACGGACCAGACCGGCCCCTGCCCCCCGCGACTGGCGGGGCCACGGGATCCCAGGGAGTGTGCACAGCGCACTGGCCAACCTGCCAAGGGGGGGGTCCCCAGATGCCCATCGCGGACCAGGATGGATGGGGGGGAGGGCGGGGAGGGGTAGGGGGTATCGGTTGTGGCACCTAGGAAAGGAGCCTTCCTCTTCCCTTCTCACCCCACTCCGCCCCGAGGCTTGGGGGTGCCACCCCCACCCTCCCCTTCCCCACACCCTCAGTAGCGGAGCTCGGGCGCCCAGGAGGGCCAGAGGCGGAACGGGCGGGCAGAGCGAGCTCTCGGGGAGGGTGAGGTGCCAACTTGGCAGCGGGTCCGGAGCGGCGGGCGAGCCCCGAGTACAGGGAGGAGGAAGGACCCGGCACGGGCTGGGGCGCGCGGCTCGCGGGCGCGGGGAAGGGAGCGCGGGCGGCAGGGGGAGGGTCCGGGCGGGCCCGCGGGCGGCCCCCCATCGCTTTTACCTGGCGTTGGTGCAGTCATTGTAGAGGGTCTCGAAGTCCTTCCTGGAGATGAGTTTGCAGCGGTTCACCCCGGGCTGGATGGCGCCCAGTCCCCTCAGGATGCGAACCTGCTCCACGTTGCACACCACCGGCGTGATCTCCAGCCGCTTCAGCTTGGTGTAGACCGTGTGCAAGCCCCCCACCAAGTGCTTGAGAAACAGGTCGAACGCCTGGGGCAGGCAGATGAGCTCGCAGCCCTCCACGGTGAAGGAGGCCACTTTGGCCCCCCTCAGATCCACCATTTTGCACTCATTATTCTGGGGGGTGTTTTCCACTGGGGACGGGGTCGAGTACACGGGTTTCCCGGGGAGGGGGCCGCCGCAGCTGCTGCCGCTGCCGCTGCCGCTGCTGCTGCTGCTGCTGCTGCTGCTGCTACTGCTGCTGCTGCTACTGCTGCTGCTGCTGCTGCAACTGCTGCTGCTGCCGCCGGTGCTGGCGTTGAGAGGGGTGCTGGAGGCGCCGCCGCCTGCGTTAATGCTGCCGCCGCCGCCGCTGCTCGAGGTCGCCAGGCTGGGGTTGCAGTTGCTGCTGCTGCTGCTGCTGATGCTGCTGCCGCCGCCGCCGCCGCCGCCGCCGCCGCCGCCGCCGCCGCCGCCGCCGCCTCCTCCGTTGCCCGCGCTGCCGCCGCCGCCTCCGTTGCCGCCGCTCGAGGTGACTGTCGCCGCCGCCGCCGCCGCCGCGATGGGCTCGGGCCGGAACAGAGTCGGGGGCCCGGAGGACGCCGCGGGGGGCCCGACGGACGGAGCCGGAGACGAGGTGGCCGACGAGGTGGAGGTGGTGGTGCCCGAGGAGGCGGCGGACGTGGAGATCGGGGGCTGCGGGGGGACCAGCTGGGTCGGAGGGATCAAAGCCGCCGGCACTGCCATGGTCACATAGAAGGGGGGAGAAAAGAGGGAGAGAGAGAGAGAGAGAGAGAGAGAGAGAGAGAGAAGAGGAGCTGGGGGGGGGGGAGAAAAAGTTACTCCGCACTCCCGGGAGGGGAAGGGGGGAAATCTGGGGGAGGGGGGGGAGAAGGAAGCTCGGGGAGGGGCGGTTGGGGGTTGGGGGCGGCCAGCAGCACAGTCGCAACTCTCGCAGAGAACCCGAAAGGAGAGAAGGGAGCAGGGGGCGAGGGGAAAAAAAAGAAGGAGGGAGAGAAAGAGGAGGTGGAAGGAAGGAAGGAAGGAGAAGCCGCGAGCGCAGGCGGGGCGGGCGCGAGAGGCGCTCCCGGAGAGGAGCGCGCAAAAGTGTCCCGCAAGTGGCAATGCGAGTCCTCTCCGGGGGCTGGGATCGGGGGCTGGTTTGGGGGGGAGGAGGAAGAGGAGGAGGAGGAGGAGGAGGAGGAGGAGGAGGAGGAGGAGGAGGAGGGGTGGGGTGGGGGGCGCGGCGGCGGGGAGGGTCCGCGGCGCCGGTCCCGCGCTAGCACAAAGTTAAGGACGAGGTGAGACGGAGGAGGCTGGAAGGACCCGGGCGCTCGCGGGCAAGGACATTGATCGGAGGGTGGGAGGGGAGCTACGGAGGGAGAAGGAGCTGGAAAGTGCAGGCTGCCGGCTGGACGCGTTGTTGTTGTCACACGGTGCCGAGGGGAGGAGCTCCGGAAACTTGAAATACCCTTTGAAGCCGCAAAAAAAAAAAAAAAAAAAAAAAAAAAAAAAAAAAAACTCACTCACTAGTATTAACCCAAATTATCCAACCAGGAACTCGGAGCAGAGACTCCGGGAGGAGAGAGGGAGAGCGCGCGCGAGACACGCAGAGGGAAAGCGAGTAAGCGAGGATGGGTGGGAGGCGGGGGTTGGGGAGGAGGGCAAGAAGGGAAGGGGGAGGAGAGGGGAAAGAAGAAGAAGAAGAAGAAGAAAAGGAAAACCTATGGGAGGGACCGAGAGCAAAAGCCAGGGGCACAGAAGTGGCGATCGGGAGCCCAGAGGGAGCTCATCGACTTCTTTTCTCCTTCCCACCGTTAGATCGCAGGTTTCCCATCGCGTTTTGTCCGCGACGACTTGTGATTTTTGCCCCTGAAACCTTCAAAGCGATCGCCTGCTCACTTGCAGAGGATCCGGAGCGCTCCAAGCGCTCTCCTTCCTGGCTTTGGGATGGATCTCTGGCTCGTTCCGGGTGGTTTTTTTTTTTTTTTTTGGTTTTTTTTTTTTTGGGGGGGGGGGGGAGTTGTTTGTTTTCTTTTTGCTTTTAACTGCGAGATAGGAATGAAAATATGACCCCTTCACTTCGTGATGATTAAGAAAGTATGAGGGGTGAGGGGGAATTCACACGTAATCGAAGAAGAGGATGTTTTATGCATCCGATGGGTTTTAGTGTCTCTGAGACATTCTTGACTTGCATAAAGATAGGGAAGATTCCCAAACTGTTGAAGCCCAGGGGCTAGGGGGGGTGGGGGGGTGGGGGGGTTGCAGTCAGGTCTGAAGTCGCTTTAGGAAATTGGGTTGTTCTGTATTCAAGTCCCTATTTCCTGATAGAAAGATTGTGGAAAGGAATAAATGCTAGCCATGATGTGGATCTTGCTGTGGAAATCAGAAATAACTCTTCCACCTAGAGAATTAGATCAGGCGCCCTTGAAGATGCAGAAAGTGGGAAACAACGCGCTGATTTTTCTTACAGAAAACTCCGTAATTAATTCACCTGTCTGACACAGTAACCAGCCATCCTCAGGCCCTTTGAGGCTCAAGACTAGTGGCTAATGTTGTGGGATTGACACACTTTCCTTTTTCGTATTTGCAAAGTATCAGCATATTTTGGGAAAGTTCTTTTCAGTTCGGCAAGGAAATGTGTTCTGTAAATAAGAAGAACAAAAACAAAGCCCCACTAGTCGACTTGTAAATACAGAAAAGATGGCTTATGCTTACAAACAACATTAGGTTGAGTTCAGACTGATTCTCTTCCTCCTCAACTTCCTCTCTCCTTTTCCCCTTTTTTTCTAACTTGTTGCATGGAGGTATGTATTCAATGATTTTTTTTTTTTAGTAACAGAATTTGATCGTAGGTCAGGTCTGTTCTCAGCATCTATCTCGAGGAATCTTAAATAATTAGGCTTTAAACCTGTCTGTACATGTTCATTACCTTCACAAGATATGAAACAATGCTTGAGAATTGGACAGCTTTAAAAAACCAAATATCAGTAGCACCAGGCTCTCTGTTAGGAAATTACATGATGAAATTTCAGCCATTAGGGCATTAAAGTTATTGTCAGTTTGCCCTTTACTATTTTTTTAAATTTGTTAAAATGTAGTGTCAGAAGGCAAAGGTAATATCCTACTGAGAAAGATGACTCTCCTGACTTATCTGTCTAATTTTATGGCAAACTTTGGGGGGGGGGGCAAAGGAGTTTTATCAGGAGACTTTCCTGACTAATAAGAATACTAAAGTCCAGATTGTTGCCACAAAGTAGACAAACCTAGCCTAAGACAGCTAAAAGTTTGCATAATTGTTTGGCCTAGTTAGCCAATGTAATTTTTAAATATGTTCCGTAATAATTAATACTCATTTCACTCCCCATATCTGCCTCCAATTAGACATGCAGATTCAATACACATTACATTCATCTTCACACTTCATTAAGGGTTTTCATATATTCTGAAAAATATTGCCTCTTTTGAAAATTCCAAATTCTATGTTGGTGAATATCAGAGAACCTCTAACTCCAGAAAGCTTTTTTTAAATTTTGCAACTGCCTGCACAACTTTCACCAAGTCCTATATAGTTTTAAAACTCTAGTTTCTTCATTCTAAAACCTAGGCCTACAAATGGTTAAAGTCAGGTAAAATTCTATAAATCTGCCCTTACCCCTATACTTCCCATTTCTCGCATTTCTTTAAACTGTCATTTACCCAGTGCCAGCCACATTCGGAAGCCACAGACAGGAAGTAATGATAGTTGACGAAGCCATAAGCCCACCCTGCTTGGAAGCAAGCCCCCTGTGCCTCCCAGCACAAGTTCCATTCAGAGGCAGGATTTGGGGCATACCCACCCCCACCCCCCCCCAAATGGGAGCTTCCGATTCTTTCCTCCCCTCTACTTAAGGACTCTAGTTTCTGAGAACTCTCACTTAGACTTCAGATGAAACAATAGGATTAGAAGCCTGTGGCAAATCAAAATAGAAAGAGAAGCTTCCAAAAATTCAGAATTTTTTTTAAAGAAATGTTAACAATGATCAAGGCAAACAGTATTTAACAACAGATAAATCAACTTTGGGGAGATTTCAAAGTCTCTTCCCATTGCATCAGCAGCTTTCAAAGCTTTTGTCTTGTTTGTTTATTGTTTTACATCTCTGGTTGTTTCGGGTCCTCTCGCCATCTCATCTCCTCCAACCTGCACTCAATTTGCATAAGCAAAACTCAAAGTACTGTAACTGATATTAGAAAATTCTCCCTGTGTTTTGTGAAGATGTATTGTGCAGAAATCAATAAGACTGTTTAAAATTCAAAGACCTGCAAATCGTTCTGTTTGTCCTTTGATAGGGCCTGTGCTGATTAAAATGCTACCAAGAAAGCTTAATTGCTGCACTAATTAAGAAGTCTTTAATTTCTTTCCTAGGATATCTTTTGAAGCTGTGCTTGTACCAGTTCAGGGAAGGTATTTTCATACCTCCCTCTGCCCCCTCCTGGCCCCTCCTCTATCTCCCTCCTCTATCTCCCTCCTCTATCACCCTCCTTCCCCTCCTCCTCCTCCTCCTCCTCTTCCTCCTCCTCCTCCCCCTCCTCCTCCTCCTTGTCCCCAAAGATATCCCAATGCATGAGAACTAATAGAGTGGTCTCAGGTCTCACCATTTATTACTTTAAAAAAATCGGCACAGGATAGAGTTCAGTGCAGTATGAAATGCAGTCAAGAGTAGCGCTGGAAGGTTGCAGGAGATAGTAGGAAATACAGAGTAGCTGTTGCAGCGAAAGTCCGGGTGAGTACCTGGATGACAACAGGCACTTTAGCCCCGCTGATGAGGGCATCTTATTTGGTTAAAAGGGGCAGTGACAAGGAAATGCTGCTCTTGCAACAGGAAAACTTAAAAATATGTTTCTAAACCTGTCTTTTCAAAAGGAAGAATAAATCTATATAAAAGTGGGATTTGGTAAGTATTGCTTTATTTTATGAGCATAAAAACATGAATTCTGTTGGAATTTATTTTTTTACCCTTTTTTGTAACCTAGGGAGGTATACCACCCCGTATTACATCCATTTATCCTTATCTATTGACCTATTTTATTTACTGATTTCTCAAGTGGGGAAACTGACTAAATGATTTCACAAAGCTTTCTCTGTAATCAATAGTCATTTTTTAGGTTTATTCATGCTGCATTATAATTCTGGTAAATGACTGCAAAGCAGAAGATTGTAAGAAAGATACAAATATTGACAGGGCACGCATAAGTCATGTCTTTAAATCTACATATTCTCAATATGGCAATTGATATAGTTGTTTGAAAGAACAGATTGAAAATACATATTTCACATAGGATAAAAACTCTAATGATTGAGGAACTTAAAGGCAATTTTATCTGAATATGCATCTTGAATTTCTCAAAAATTTCTTAAAGAGTGGAGCATCCTTTTCTTATACCACCACCAAATGAAATAGAAACAATTTGAGCATTTACAGAAAAAAAACAACAAGAAGGGCTTTATTGTACTTTTTGTGTTTTAACACCCCACCCTCACCCCAGTTCTGTTAGGACCATGCACAGGAAAATACAGATGTATACTTTAAATATACACCGAATTCCCTTCAGTGACAGTACAAGGAGATAACATGCTTAATAGATTCAAAGGGAGATTTACCATTCCGAGCACGACGTCACTCTAATTATGTTTACTCTAATTGAAAGCAAGGTTTTTTGGAATCTGAAATTACTTTCAGAATTTTTTTTTAAATAATGCAAGTGGA